TAGTACAGTGGACCCTCTACCTCCTCACCTCTACCACTATCCATTCTTTCCCTTGGCCGTAGTACAGTGGACCCTCTACCTCCTCACCTCTACCACTATCCATTCTTTCCCTTGGCCGTAGTACAGTGGACCCTCTACCTCCTCACCTCTACCACTATCCATTCTTTCCCTTGGCCGTAGTACAGTGGACCCTCTACCTCCTCACCTCTACCACTATCCATTCTTTCCCTTGGCCGTAGTACAGTGGACCCTCTACCTCCTCACCTCTACCACTTATTATAACCTCATTTGTTTAACAATCTGCACTGATGTGCACGCTGCACAGAGTACTCAAAAGAGGCAGTATTCAGAGATAAATAGAAATAGAACCTGTTAACTACATTCCATCACTTAACTAATTCACACGTCCTGGACCTATTTACAGTATGAAAGACATGTCTGAACATCTTTGAGTGTCATTTGAGTGAAAGCGTATGAACCAAACATACAGAGCTAAGATTCAGGGTTTTATCACAAGTAAACTGATCACAATACAAGGATAACCTGAGTTTACTATGCTAACAAGGGTTTCTTTTGATTTTAGCTAAAACTCTTAATACCTGCATACCTTTGTTATCATCTTATCAAGGAAATCATTAAAACAACTCTTCATCATGATTCTATATCTAACGACTTCTAAGTGTTGTAAAAGCAATATTTCTGACGTAATCTGGTATGTTTCTGATATTTCATCAATCAGACATTATTTCACAAATAGAAAAATAGCATCAGAAACAGTTTTGAGGTTACATGATGATTTAGCCACACAGCGATCTTTAACAGGCAGGAATAAATATATATTTATATATTTGGGAGAAAATTAGCACTGGGAGATAGTTGTTTTTTTATGAGTGAAGGGCAAAAGTCTGACTGGGCAAAGGGTTTCTGGTATATAGCACTGCCATTCCCAAAACTTTCCTGTTAGATCTCCACTCGAATTTAGACATTGAGGTATTAGATCTCCACTCAAATTAAGATATTGAGGTCTTAGACCTCCACTTGGATTAAGACATTGAGGTTTTAGATCTCCACCTGAATTAAGACATTGAGGTCTTAAATCTCCACTTGAATTAAGACATTGAGGTCTTAGACCTCCACTTGAATTAAGATATTGAGGTCTTAGACCTCCACTTGGATTAAGACATTGAGGTTTTAGATCTCCACCTGAATTAAGACATTGAGGTCTTAAATCTCCACTTGAATTAAGACATTGAGGTCTAAGATCTCAGATCGAATTAAGATATTGAGGTCTTAGACCTCCACTTGAATTAAGACATTGAAGTTTTAGATCTCCACTTGAATTAAGACATTGAGGTCTTAAATGTCCACTTGAATTAAGACATTGAGGTCTTAGATGTCCACTTGAATTAAGACATTGAGGTCTTAGATCTCCACTTGAATTAAGACATTGAGGTATGTACAGCTAGGCACCAGCTAAAGTACACGTACATGAAGCTACAGAATCACACACAGTTTGCTCCCTTCCTCACAGTTACCCGCTGAAGGAACTGTCACTCTGGTTACCGTGGTAACCTGGTTGGCAGGAAGTGAGTTGATGAGAGATGGAGCTTCAATATGAGGTCGTGGTCCAGGATCTTTTAACATCCAGAAGTCTTTGTCTGTGTCTCCATTGTTAGTGACTTCATGACTTGAAACAAAAGAAGACAGTTAGAGGTCTAGATCAGAATGAACATAAAAAAAATCAACCACGACAGTAGTATAGAGTAGGAAGGATAACATATATCACATTAGTAAAAATATAATAAATACTTTACATTACCGCTATACAGATTACCACTGTATAACATGAAATATTCATTGTGTATAAACATTCATTGCTTTTAGTGACTACGAAAATAAATACAACGAATATTTCTATGCAATGAAAGAACATAACCACAGATGAATTTTTAACTCCTCCGGTATCTATGAGTTACTTTTACTCCACCAACGTCGTATTATCCTACCATCAATGGTCGGTCCATTTGATAAGGTAATTTTTTTCACAGTTGTACGTCATTGGCATAAATATGCCATTCTAATGCTTCATGTGGTTATTTCACCAGCTTTTTCTATTAAGATTTTCAATTATTCCTTTAAGCGCTGGCAAATTTCAAAGTTACAGAGCAAGTGGCTAGCCCCATTCAAAAATGTTGTACTGAACTTCTCTAGCGGAGAAAGTTATGATAGGTACATTTCGTTGAATCGGGTATCCATGAAAATTTGTATCCACAAAATTATCTAATAGCTTTAAACCATGAAATAAAGAACCCACCAATATTTGGTGTTATACAGTACATAGAGTAGGTGGATTGTCCTACCTTTTCTTGTCCTTCTCCTCCCTGCCCACCACGCTGTTGTCCTTCACTGCACATGTACAGCCGGGGCCAAGCTCAATGGCCTTGTGGGAACTTTTAAATATCTCATTATCTTGGATACAGCCTTTGAGTACCATGGTAACAAGCAGTGTCTTGTCACTAAGTGACTGTAGACGGTTATGTTGAACCTGAAGGAGAAACAATTCATCAGATTATATCATGTTAAGTGCAGTAACCATAATAGGTAAATGTTAGCGATTTTGATAAAAGTCAAAATATTTGTTTCTTTCATCAAAAGGTATGCTTTTTAAACAACTACTATCAAACACCAAGAAAAGACCTTAATTAGCAAAGACATAAAATTTGAAGTTTAAAGATGAACACAACACAAAACAAGAGGCCCAATGGGCCTGAATTGCTCACCTGGTATTAATCTCACACTTGTAATCTTAAAAGTGGACTAATATACAGCTACAGGCAAAATATTTGTGTTCGATCCATTTGAATCTATTAAATGATTTAGACATATGACGCCTGCGACCTTGACAGTTTATAGCCTTCCGTTCCGGCATATTTCTGGCTAAATATCATTAGCCTGGACCTTTTAAATATTCAGAACAAGTCATTTAAAGATTTAAACATATTTGATGATCCCTGTGACCTTGAATATGAGCAAAGGTCATTCATTTGAACAAACTTGGTAGCCCTTCATCCCAGCATGTTAATGGCCAAATATCATCACCCAGGGCCTTTTGGTTATTGAGAAGAAGTTGTTTAAAGTTTTTAAACATATTTGACCCCTTTGACCTTGAAAATAGATGAAGGAAATTCATTTGAATAAACTTTGTAGCGCTTCATCCAAGCATGTTGCTGACAAAATGTCATTAGCCTATGCCTCTTGAATATTCAGGTGAAGTGATTTAAAGGTTTTAAACATATTTGACCCCTGTGATCTCGAAAATAGGTGAAGGTCGTTTGTTTGAACAAACTTGGTAGCCCTTCATCTGAGCATGATACTGACAAAATGTCATTAGCCTATGCCTCTTGAATATTCAGGAGAAGTTATTTAAAGGTTTTAAACATATTTGACACATGTGGCCTTGAAAATAGATGAAGGTCATTTGTTTGATCAAACTTGGTAGCCCTTCATCCCAGGATGTCACTGGCAAAGGCCTTTTGGTTATTGAGATGAAGTTTTTAAAAGATGTTTAACATATTTGACCCCTGTGACCTTGAAAATAGATGAAGGTCATTTGTTTGAACAAACTTGGTAGCCCTTTATTACAGCATGTTACTGGCCAAATATCATTATCCTAGGCTTCTTAGTTATTGAGAAGAAGTTGTTTAAAGGTTTTTAACATATCTGACCCCTGTGACATTGAATATAAGTCAAGGTCATTCATTTGAACAAAATTGGCAGCCCTTCATCCCAGCATGTTACTGGCCAAATATTATTCGTGCCAGGTGAGCTAAAAATAAGTATTTGTATCATTTGTCTTAAATAATTTGTGAAGTTAAAATATCTAAATGCGTGTCAAATATATGTAACACATATAACTTATAACCTTAAGAAACTTAAGTTTAAATATGGGCAAAATTTTAGCAAAAGTAAGCATTTATTTATCATATATCTTAAACCACTAAATAATGGACTTACCGAGATGGACTCATTCTTCTGTAGTTGAATAGCACATCTTTGATTTCCAACAATATCATTGGTTGAAATATCAGCCTCATTTTGACATAAAATACCATGATCTCTGTTGTCAAATATTCCGTTTCCTTGGATAGAGACCTGAAAAACAGATCTCGTACTTCTACTACAAGTAGCTCACAAACTGTAAAACAACTACCTCAATACTTATACAAGTATGATTTGTAAAATGAACATGGGTAATTAAAATCTAAACTATTCTGATCAAACCCCAACATTACACTAAATTCATTTTTTGAGAGAGCTTCTTGGTATTTTAGTAGAAAGTCCCTGGGTGTAAATTGTGAAAAATCATGAGAAAATGTACAAAATTGTGAAAATAAAATGTAAAACCATATAAAGATTGTACAATACAGTGACATGAGGTACAATACAGTGACATGAGGTACAATACAGTGACACGAGGTACAATACAGTGACATGAGGTACAATACAGTGACACGAGGTACAATACAGTGACATGAGGTACAATACAGTGCCATGAGGTACAATACAGTGACATGAGGTACAATACATTGACATGAGGTACAATACAGTGACATGAGGTACAATACTGTGACATGAGGTACAATACAGTGACATGAGGTACAATACAGTGAAATGAGGTACAATACAGTGACATGAGGTACAATACAGTGACACGAGGTACAATACAGTGACATGAGGTACAATACAGTGAAATGAGGTACAATACAGTGACATGAGGTACAATACAGTGAAATGAGGTACAATACAGTGACATGAGGTACAATACTGTGACATGAGGTACAATACAGTGACATGAGGTACAATACAGTGACATGAAGTACAATTCAGTGAACTCTCTTAGGATTGGGCAGGAAGAGATTGGAATCATACTTCAGAAACAAGGTACGATAAAAATTGTTCATTAACAGTCGAGTCCAAACTATGTAACAATACTTTAGAGTGATTTGATTTAGTAAACTGTTTTACAAGCACTTAAGAGTTGCTGTAGAAAATCATTAATATAATAAAAGCATTTTGTAAAACAAAAATCAAGTAACAAAAACATGGTTTCGTCAATAACTGTATGTGTAGCATGTTTTACTGATATAATCAATGTATTTGATATTTTATTTAATCCTAGGGAATCGTGTTTAATGGTTTTTGAAAACAACTGACCTTTCCACTGCTAGAGGTCATGACCCCGTTACCACAGTTACACGTGATACTGTTGTCCTGGACCAGTACGTCCGAAGTCTGGTCAATGTAAATGCCATCACCACGGTTACCATGAATGGCATTGCACTGAATGTCAACCTCGTCATTGAACATCACCTTGACACCACGACCTATTAAATTAAGACATAATTGATTGATAGGTTTTACGTCCGCTTCACTACCGAGTAGTTTTGTTATCCAGCAGACCTGGTACGGTATGTTTTGTATCTAAGTGTACTGCAAACATAAAAGCATTGACTAATTGAGTTATGACCTTTTATTCAAGGTCATTTGGTAAACACATGTGGATTTCCTGATTTCAAACTGACAACAGCAATTGGACAAGCCCACTAAGTAATCACATTCAACCATCCGATTCAACATCACATTATTAGCTCTAGTGCTATTTGCAATGCAGGCCTGCCAGTATCGACTGTGATCATATTGTCAACATACTGTATACGTACATATTTTGGGGGTATTCTAATTTTAGCGCTTTAAATATTGCACTAATTAATGATTACACTAATTGAAGTCTCTCTATAATGTTTTTCAAATGCATAAATTGTGAGCATGCCAATACCTCAATGTGCTCATCGGCAAAAGATTTGATATTATGCTAAAATTTGTGTCCGATAAAATAAGAACTCTTACAGTATACATAGAAAAGAATAAAAAAGAAGAGATGATCAGATAACTGAGGGGAAAACTGCAATGGATTGAGCACTGCAGTTTACCATTCTGCCCCTAGTTCAAAAAGTGGCTGTGACCGATAACAAATGGTAGGATAAAAATTAATGAACATACTTAAATGTTTGAAAATTACTTGATAAATAATGGAACATGGCTTATATAATTTTCTTCATACACAATCATCATCATACCTCCATTATGATATATACTGTTGTATTCGATTGTGGCCTTCTGGCATGGTCGTCGTGGAAACGGTTGCTCATCATTGGCAAACTGCCAGAATTCCATACTCTGCTGCGTGTGCATCTCACTCCTGTTGATACCCATGGTGTCAGCCTCATGAGCTGCGTCCTGGAAAAGTTCAGTTCCTAGTCTTGTAACAATACTGATATTTTTTTACCAACATTCCTATATTGACACAATGCAGTCTCAAAAGAAGAGCTATCATCTGGAGGATAACTAATACCCCCTGCAGATGCTGGTAGTTTAAACATCATTTAGTGACCTTGACCTTGGGGTCAACTTACTGAAATGGAAACTCGTTCGAGATATTTTGGCTTTTTACATATAGGCGAAGTTTCATCAATATACATACAGAATTAAAGTCGGTAGAGCGAGTTTTCCGGACAAGTTATTTCCCATAAAGGACCATAACTCCCTTAGAAAGTGTTGAAATCTAAAATTACAATGCTTACATCGTTGCAGGGGGTATAATTAGCAGTATATTAGAATCTGATCAAGATCAAGTTCCTGAGGTGAAGCAATTCACATTTAATTCATCTATAAATCAAACTTGAGTCATTATCCTCTGAACTTGACAATATTAAGATTCAATCTTTGTATTTTCATTTAAAATATACTCAAAGTATTCTGTCAAATACCAAAACGTACTGAAAAAGGAATGGATGATCTCTGATGATATGAAAAGTAAGTTTTACATATATTTTTTTCATTGTTGATATTAAAGACACCTTTCCATTGCTGGCATATGTTCAAATTGACAACAGTGCTTACTCAATGAATGGGGTGTCATTATTGTACAAATTTCATTTACAACATTTTGCAGAGATTTAAATCTACAACTTTTTGCAGAGGTAATGGCTTAAACTTCCACCTTAGGGAATTACTAGTGGAATCTAAGACTTGCCAACAAAAGCCAAAACAAATCTCACAAACTACATGTTGTTCTCTTCAACAAAACAAAATTTGACAGAATATAAAGATATAAAGCCGTTGTTTTAATATACAAACCTTAATCAAATCTCTTAAAATTTAGTTGACCATGTCATATATATTTTATGCATTGAACTAACCAAAGTCTTACCCCCATCCCAACCCCCACTGAGTTTTAATTTTCTGTTTATCAAAAACTTATATATGTATTACCCACATGAATACAGACATAAACTAAATGAAATAGGAATTCAACACCTCAACTAAACACTTCATAGGAATTCATTAGTAAATATTGTTCATACATGAGTTTTAAATACTGTGTGTAAAGGAAGAATATTAAAATTAAAACAAACCATCCTTAAATCTATTCTGTTCCTTTTGTTGTCGTCTTATGTATCAGTCTTACCATTTTGTTGACAAATGTCACCCCAGCATCACCGTTGTCATTGATTTGGTTGCCATGGAGCATCGGCTGGCAAGCAGCAGTTATCCAAACTCCACAACCAGAATTCCCTGTAAACAAAAAACACTTCAAGGTCAAATAATGAGAACCAATCGACCGTATCACAGCAGGGTCAAGGTCAGCATTCTATTCCCATGATGATGTCATTGTTTTGTTGCTGTTCATTTTGTTGAGATATATGTTTAATATTGAAATATAATATCCTGACGGATTCTGTTAGTAAACCCAGTAGCTTGAATCTATTATGGCCAGAGACGTCATCATCAGTAAAACCATGATTCTCCAGTTCCACATAAATGTCTTTTTAGAAATTTAGTAATGTTATTCATTTTTTATGTCTGTTGTAATATCTGTCTATCAATGTATAGTGAAACTGAGTAAATATCACATATCACCGACCTCCACATGATTACGATTCAATCAATGAGGAAATATGTGTTATCTAATATTGCAAAATATACACTGATATACAAATATTGCCACAGTATTGCCCAAACCTAATCATTAACATGGTGTGAGTGTCCAAACAGTAGTGTATATGTTACAAACACAGAACTGGATTTACTCACCAGATATGACGTTGTTCTCTATACTTCCGCGCCCATTTTCTCCGATGACGATGCCATCAGAGAGCCCATTTGCGATGACATTTTGCGTGATGACTGGATCGCCTCCCTTCCTGATGTCCACACCTCCCCACTGGTTACCCGTGATTACATTGTCTACAGTCAAAAGTATCAGTGTACAACACAAGTCTCGTCTTAACATGTAATATGTAACAATATCAGTGAGATGAAACAGCAACACCTTTTATTACCTTTATACATTTTTAAAAAGTATACAATACTGCAGGGTCAGAACAATATATGCCCAAACATACATAAAATCTTTCTGATGCAGTCTTGTACCAAAATGTACGAAGATATAGAAACGTAAAAGAAACTACACCTGTTCTATAAAACTCAGTAATTTGGCAGAGTTATTTCTGGGATCGAGCCACGCCTAACGTCATCAACAGCTCAGAGGACTTGGTCGTATTTAATTTAATTCACAGCTTACCTGTGACCTAACCACGCCCCTCAATATATCACTGACAGCTTACCTGTGACCTAACCACGCCCCTCTATATATCACTGACAGCTTACAAATGGATAGCCACATCCCTATATATCACTGACTGTTTACCTATGACATAGCCACGCCCCTCTATATATCACTGACAGCTTACCAATGACATATCCACGCCCCTCTGTATATTGCTGACAGCTTACCTATGACATAGCCACGCCTCTCTATATATCACTGACAGCTTACCTATGACATATCCACGCCCCTCCATATATCACTGACAGCTTACCTATGACATAGCCACGCCCCTCTATATATCACTGACAGCTTACCAATGACATATCCACGCCCCTCTGTATATTGCTGACAGCTTACCTATGACATAGCCACGCCCCTCTATATATTGCTGACAGCTTACCTATGACATATCCACGCCCCTCCATATATCACTGACATCTTGCCTATGACATAGCCACGCCCCTCTATATATCGCTGACAGCTTACCAATGACATAGCCACGCCCCTCTGTATATTGCTGACAGCTTATCTATGACATAGCCACGCCCCTCTATATATTGCTGACAGCTTACCTAAGACATAGTCACGCCCCTCTATATATCACTGACAGCTTACCTATAACATAACCATGCCCCTCTATAAATCACTGACAGCTTACCTATGACATAGCCACACCCCTCTATATATCACTGACAACTTACCTTTGACAAAGCCACGCCCCTCTATATATCACTGACAGCTTACCTATGACATAGCCACACCCCTCTATATATCACTGACAGCTTACCTATGACATAGTCACACCCCTCTATATATCACTGACAGCTTACCTAAGACATAGTCACGCCCCTCTATATATCACTGACAGCTTACCTATGACATAGCCACGCCCCTCTATATATCACTGACAGCTTACCTATGACAAAGTCACGCCCCTCTATATATCACTGACAGCTTACTTATGACATAGCCACACCCCTCTATATCTCACTGACAGCTTACCTATGACATAGCCACGACCCTCTATATATCACTGACAGCTTACCTATGACAAAGCCACAGCCCTCTGTATATCTCGGACAGCTTACCTATGACATAGCCACGCCCCTCTGTATATCACTGACAGCTTACCTATAACATAGCCACGCCCCTCTATATATCACTGATAGCTTAACTATGACATAACCCTGCCCCTCAGTGTATCACCGAAAGCTTACCTATGAAATAGCCACGCCCCCCTTCGTTAACAGCTACCCCGGCTGCTTTTCCACTGTGAATTTGGTTTTTGCTGAAAACAGAAATTTTATTGATATAAGTAAAACATATTGTTTCCTGTAAATACTCAAAAAGGAGATGAAAAATTATAAACCCATTTTTTTTTAAAAAGTTTTTGCTTCTAACAAAATAAAATTTCATTTCCTAATTGTCGTTACAGATGTTTAGACTCCATAAAATCCTATATTCTTCAGGTAAAAAAATTGATTTGTGTTTGGCAACTTAAGAATCTTTCCCCTTGGGGGTGAGATATTCTATATATCCAGCAGATTGACAATATCATCTTATCACATAACAGTATTACCAAGAAATAAGTTGTCCTACAGCGAACTATTTTGATGTACTTACCTAACAACAGGATTCCCCCGGTACAGAACATACACTCCGGCTTCCTTGTTTTGGAAGATTTCATTGTTGTTGATGTGGCCACGCCCACTTCCCAGCACTACGACTCCCGACCTCTTCCCGTGGTGGATCCGGTTACTCTGTTAAAAAACACATGATACTCTTTTACATGTCAATGTATAGTAGACTTCCTGATGATTGAAATTGTCCATTGTTCAATTTTATTTTAGGAAAGTCATCAACACTGAGGCAATACAAAACAACATAAATGTATGATGCACTTTGCAACACTGTTAACATCAACTGTAAAACGTTCTGAATTACCTCTTCTTTTAAGATGAGGCATTTGGCTTTTGCATGAAAGATGACAGCAAACAGTAACAATTTTACAAGAAAACTTCAGGCACAAACAATCACCATTTCTTCAATATCCTCTAGCACACTGATAGAACCAGTTAACAAAAATAATTGGGGGGGGGGGGATTTTTTTGGAATAAAACAGGGAGCTGCTGTCAAACTGAAATAATACACAATGCTGTCTGTCTGAAATGTTAAGTTAAATAGACTTTACACCTGGCAGTCTCCCTGTCCAAACGTCAGAATTGGTATGACTAACCTGAACAATAGGGTCAGCATTTTTCCTGATGTCTATGCCTGCCTCACAGTTAGAGTGGATGTCGTTCCCTGTAAACATGCAACCCAACAGTGTTACTGCTACTTCAATGGGATTCATTATGATGTTATAATCAAATGGCTCATGGGAGCAACAGCTTTTGAAACACTACTGACGGTAACTTCTGTTTATACCTATGTCCACATACACAATGTTATTGTCATATTCATCTGTAACAAATAAAATATTCCTTGTACAGTTGTTTATTTCAATTTGTGGAGGAACACTTACCTGGTCATGTATGTACAAAGAAGCAAGGAATATTGTCTAAGTCTTTCAGGAAAAAGCATTAATAGTACAGTTTTTTGTTTGTATGTGTTTTACGTCCTATTTAAAGCTATAGTCATCTAAGGACGTGCCAGGTTTTGGTAGTGAAGGAAAGCCGGAGCTACCTGAGAAAAACCATCGACCTACTGCCAGTGCCTGACGACTGGCCAATGTAGGTCTTGAATGGTGGAGGGCTAGTGGTAGCAGAATGTCAGATACCTTAACTACTTGGCCACCACGGCCCCTTAATAATACAGATACAGTGTAGGTGAGCTAGCCCTATACACCAACAAAACACCGGTGTAACAGAATGACATTCTGAGGTTCAACACATCAGAATGTAGTTTGAGACATGATGCCCAGATGGCCTGTATTGCTCACCTGGATATTTAAGCAATAATGGCAAACTTTTCTCAATAGAAGTATTATGGCAAAGACGATCCCAGAGATAAGGCCAGTCCCTCTACTTAATCAATTTACTGGAACAACACTATCTTATATATTATTTGTAAATGTCTCTTTACAATTTTGAAGCAGTCAATAATCAAATCTCCATCAACACATTATCATTAAACATTGTCGACTACAGTACACCTGGCAGCTGTCAGATAAAACTTACCTGCGATGAGTCCTCGCAGCTGTCAGATAAAAAAAACTTACCTACGATGAGTCCCGAGGCTGCCAACCTCGACTTCAGTACACCTCGCAGCTGTCAGATAAAACTTACCTGTGATGAATCCCGAGGCTGTCAGATAAAATTTGCCTGCGATGAGTCCTTGCAGCTGTCAGATAAAACTTACCTGTGATGAGTCCCGAGGCTGTCAGATAAAACTTACCTGCATGAGTCCCGAGGCTGTCAGATAAAACTTACCTGCGATGAGTCCTCGCAGCTGTCAGATAAAACTTACCTGCGATGAGTCCCGAGGCTGTCAGATAAAACTTACCAGCGATGAGTCCCGAGGCTGTCAGATAAAACTTACCTGCGATGAGTCCCGAGGCTGCCAACCTCATGAACACCCCTGATGTCCGACTGTGATGGATTTCACTGTTGATCAGTACAATCTGTAAGTAAAACATACATTCCAAGGGTTGTGTTCAGGATTGTAACGTCTATAGGCAAGATGGTCTTGGTTATGTAAATGACTTGAAGACATGCAATACAGTAACACTTGGTCAATGACAAATATTGTTTAAACCAAATTCAATCCACAGTTGTTTTATCTGTAGCAGATATTTTTTATAATCAAAAATTTTGTACTGACCTTTGCATTCTGAATACACCTGACCCCATAACCAAGACTACTGAGGTCACAGTGGGAGATGACCGCCTGAGCCTGCAGACTGACCATTGCTCCTCCCTTACATTGAGTCATGTGACAGTGACGGATCAGACACCCTCGGACCTCGTCCAGAACCTTCTGCATGGCTTCGTCATGGACAATGGGGATCTGCTCGGATTGGTTCTGACTGGATATTGAGATGACGTCAGCATCGGCATTAAGGCTGCAGGACGCAGAGACAGACCGGGGCAACTGATGTTCAGGATAGGATAACATGATCACCGACTCCTCACTTGATGAAAAGTCACTCTCAGCATCGGACATTAAGTCTTCATCACTACTACTGGTACTGGCTGTTTAATACAAACATTTTAATGAATGTGTAAAATCTTGAAACACAATGACAAACACTTTTTTTCCTTTTCAGAAACACCCAATTTTTCATGTGATTTATAATTAAAAACAAAAATTCTAACAAAGTGCCGAATGGTACAGCTAAGAGCCCATATTCATGAAACCTTTCTCTTTCCCAAACTCAGATTATGTACTCCATCTTAACCCCTTATGTACATGACAAAGAACAATTTTGAATTCAATATGATTTAATAATTGGTATATACACAAGTTTAGCTTTAACTTGGAATTGTAGTCGAGTACCATTCTCGGGCTGTTTCTACTTTCGATCCCAACCCATACCAGTTTCAGTTAGGACATGAAAATTGGCTACACTGGTAGCCAGCGTAAATTTAATTCTATGTCTGAATTGTCAATCATTATTTACTTTTTAGGCTTTCTCTGACACCTAAGCTTTGATTCACAGCTGAAAGGTATTATGATATTTGAATTTCAAATACATTCACATTACATTGAGGCTACCAAAAGGTAAAGTAAAAGAAAAGGTTGAGGTAAACCATCTCCTTTAGTTTAAACAGTGATACAATAACATGCAACTACTGTACATGTATAGTGTTCATTCAATCAGCAAACACAATTGTAAAACAGCGATGGGAAAAAAACTTAGAAACTATATAACTTCCTCCAAAATACAGTAAAAATATCTGGTACCAGAACACTGTTACGAATTTAAAGTGTTGCCTGTCTTTTTACATTAAATTATAAGGAATAATTATTTTGGGGGTTAACCCTTTCACCCCTATGCAACTTTAGTAAACTCTACCATGTTATTGATCTGGATGAGTCCATTATGGTCTACAGTAGTGAAAGAATTAAAGGGTATATATATACATACCTAAAAAACTTTCAAGGACTTTTGTGCAAAAACCGCTTGGCAGATTTTATGAAAAGTACACACATTTTTTTCAGTATATACCATATAACCCACAAAATAATTATGGTTATTCTTAATTAATTGTTTCCCATGGTTAATAGGACTTATTAAAGAAATTAAAGAAATAATCAGAAGATAATTTATTTTTACCTCCAGCAATTGAATGTTCTGAACCTGAATCGTATCGTCCGATGCTATCATCGTCTCCATCAAACAGGTCACTGCCACTTATCATCGATAGAGGTGACCTTGACCCGCTATCAGAGGAATCCCGTCGGATGTTCAGCTGCAGTTCATGGTTAATGACTGGGTTTGCTGGCTGATCACCGTTTTGTTGAGGAGCCACGGGACCCTGTTCCTCGTGACCGCGATCAGCCGGCACTGGAGGTGCATAGTGTTGAGTAATTGTTAGTCCCTGGGAATCAGGAGGTTGGTCTGACGACTCCCCCCTGTGAACAACTACATTTGAGGTACATGGTTGAAGATTTCCAATATTTAACATCGCATCCATTGAACTTGCTTTGGAATTTTTTCGATGAGATTCTAACATAGTTATATCCTCAGTATAGCTAACTAAGTCAGAAGCCGATGATTCCTTCAAGTACAGCTGTTCCTTGTTTGACAAACTACGGAATAAATGCACATTTGAACTTGGTTTCTCTGTAAATTCTGAATGAACATGCGAGAACTTTGCTGAACCACTAACACTCCTTCCCCCAAAACTTGGTTCCATGAAGGAGGTACAGTCTGTTTTAGAGTCACATGACTTCTCTGAAGGTTTTTGATTGGCTGTGTAAGCAGTGGATGTAGAAAAAGCAGACGTTGGCACAGGTTCTCCCTTAGGGTTACGTTGTGTATGAGAAATATCACATGCACTTACAATTTTTTCCATCAGATATCCATACGTCCAGTTTTTTTCCTCACGAGGGAAACCTTCTACAGTAATGGCTGCAGAGTCCGTTTGAGAAAACTCGCAATTCTCTATGACACTTGCATTAACGTACTGAAGAATGACTGTGGCATGACGCAGAGTACAGAACTTGAGGTGGCATGTTCCGGGGTTTTGAACATAAACCATACCATCCTCAAGAATACAGTTGTCAACTTGAAGGTAGCCTGATCGAACCTTCAAAACAGATAATATCATGTATGTTAATGAAAAAACAATGTTTACATTAAAATAGTACAATAAATAAGTTGAATTATAAAAAATCTAAGAAATCCACAAGTAATATATCTTACCTTATGAGCCATAGACTCTGATATCTCACCTTTAGCACAAAAATATATGAACCACAACCTTTACTATATCTCACCTTTAGTATAAAGTTAGTGAACCATGGCGCTCTGAACACAAGATTACTGACTCGACCTGTAAGGGCCATTTGTTCAATACACACAACAAGAATCACACTCCCAAGCTCCCCCTCCCCGACCAACTCAAATGGAATCTTCGAAGACATCTCAAACTGCTCGTCGTAAATCCCAGGGTGCACCACGATTCTGTCATAGTCACGAGCAACGGCAAGAGCACCTTTTAATGTGGCATGTTCTTTGCCTCGTCCAACATGTATCGTCTTTCTTTCCTTGCGACGTTTTAGGACGTAGAGGCAGGTGGCAGGGTCCGGTTCTCTTTGAGTTCGTACCCAGAACCGTGTGGACATGAATTGTTCTTTAAAAGCCTGTTTCCATGACGCTGGTTCCGACTTTGTGTTGAGTGGCCAGTAAGGATGCTTCCAGTCCCCACACTGTAGGTACAATTCTCGCCATCTAATAAAATATATATATATTCTTATTCATTTTGATATGACATGATTAAAAAAGAATAAGAACCCCAAACAGCCTTAACAAATTGTTTTGGTTTGGTTAAGATTGGTTTAACATCCTATCAACAGCTATGGTCATTTAAGGACGGCCTCCCCTGTGTGCAAGATGCATGCGTGTAGTGTATGCGTGTGTGTGTGTGGGAGGCTGCAATATATTTGTGTTTGTCTCCTTCTGATAGCGTGGAACTGATACCGACTTTATAGTGCTACCTCACTGAAACATACTGCCGGAGACACCTTATCAAATACCTGTTAATTGTGTTATTGGCAATTACATTTAATGCTGAAATGTTTTCTTACATGTATCCTAGCTTTTGTTTATGTGACGAAAATATGAAGACAAAATTTGCAATAATTGGAATATTAATTCACACATTTCTCTTTTATATTCATATCACATACATGCTGAGCTGATGTAAAACACAAACAAATAAAGAGAACTGATTCTGACCTGGTATTGTCGAGGCTGATGATGAGGTCGTTCCATGTTTTACACACACAGGAGCTGCGACACAGGTCTTCCTCCGACAGGTACGACAGAATAATTCGCCATATCTCGTATGGCAGCCCCGACTTGTCCCCAGGTAGCACCTTGCTGCCAGCCTCTGGCTTCGCACTGGGGCTGGACATTGTAGAGGGCTACTTCACCATGGCATTTCAGTCAGGCAAGCAGACTGTGTAGTCTAGATCTCCCTCTATGAATAAAAAAAATAAAATGAAACTTTACAAGAATTGCCCTATAGTTTTATATAACAAGTATATCTCTTATATGAAGCTTATTATATTCATATTAACAACAACCAGTATAAGGGTGGACTAATGTGTTATCAGAATATCTGCAGATATGGACATTCCAAGATGGGGCAGGCAGAAATTGAATAAATGTTTTTTACTGATTCTTGTCTATGTGGCTTCTAAATGTACTAAATTCCTGGATGTTTATATAGTTTATCATCTCTGGCTTATATAAGATATTTGAGTCAAAACTGACTGCTTTAAATATTTTGTAAAATATATTTGAATTTTCCTGTGAGACATCTAAAAACCATTCATTTATATCTGGATTTCCATGTTCCTGTACCTGAGGCTATTTATATTGTGAATTAATTCAAAATGAAGTTTTTATGTTTGAATTGGCATTATTGATGCAAGGAATTGAACCATATTTGTTTCTATGGCTGTCTCTAAAAGACAACAGAAAAAATAGTCATCTAGAGCATCAGATATAGTCAACTTGCCAACCAAAAACCAGGTTTTTCAGATATATATATTGACGTCTTTATGTACATGTTCATTACAAATGAAACCACTTCAAAATATATATCTGAACAATGAGCAATCAAAATCAAATAATCTAATATGGGAATTCAAAGTGCAAATCGGTGGTACTACATACAATATAATATAAGAGATAAATATAATTTGTCATCCTTCTTTGGGGTAAGGTGATATAGGGGAATCTCAACCCTAGGGTACCATTGAGATTTCTTAGTTAAGTGTTCGCCAGCAATGGTGATTAAGCAAGGAGTAAATTATTCAGATTGCCACTGAGCAAAATAACCTGGAAAGGAGTAATTGTTTACCATGTATGTTCTGCCATTCGTGGGTCACACACACAATTACAAGACATATGACTATACAAAGTGTCACCCCATGTTGAATGACATGCTATTCCAATTATCGACTCATCAGGCATGCAGTGCTCCAGATAAAGATATTAATTTTTACCAACCAAAGGAAATGTCCTTATTTACCTGTAGACTAGATAGTTAGATAGAAGGGCTAATTAACATAAGCTACAAGATCATTCACTCAAAAGGTGAACTGTATTTGTTTTCTAAATGACCCAATTTAATTAACTGCAAACATCTTTCAACCCGACAATAACATTATCTGTGAATTATGAGATGAAAAGCCAAACAAAGTTGAAGAAAAAAAGCTGTAAGGTCTGTTTTTGTTTATGTAACAGGAGAGGGGAAAAATGCATGGTCAGACTGACATTCGAACTTGGGACCTTTAAACTCTGGCCCATTGCGCTATCCAGTCCTGGGTTCCACTATATTCTTTTTCCTGTGTTTACTAAGTTTTCGTCCCGGAAGACAACACTATTACACCCCAGGTTCATCCCTTATCAAGGGTACACTCAGCATTTGAAACAAGGTTTGGTCACAGTTGGTTTTAGTTTGTTTGGTTGTGTTTTACATCCTATTAACAGCTATGGTCATTTAAGGTCGTGCCAAATTTTGGTGGTGGAGGAAAGCGGAAATACCTGGAGAAAAACCATCGACCTACAGCCAGTTACTACCTGTCGACTTCCCAACGTAGGTCTCGAACCTGACCCAGTGGTGGAGGGCTAGTGGTAGCAGAATGTCCGAAGCATTAACCACTTGGCCACTGTGGTCACAGGCACGACTGTAACTAGTACTAATATTAATATTCGGCCAAGCTCCTCTGCCCTGGCCGGGTATTAAATTGATCCCATGCCTTGTAATTAAGTGAATCACACCTGGGCGATTTTAGAATCAATTGATAGCACATTGGTCCGCATCTATAAATAGGGTTGTAGTATGAACTATTTCTGTTGATCTCCTATTCCTATATAGCTTGAACTTAAACTCTGCCTAAAATGTTGTTAAATTATCAAGTAAACGTAGCAAGGGCAGTCAAAATCTGAATTGACCGCCATGTTGGAAACTTCGTCTCTCTTCCAATATTGGTCAGATTTATATATGGGTGTCATGACCCGATATTGAAATTGTAGTAAACATGGCTGCACCAGTACTTATACTATATTTGGCCATGCAAGCCTTATATAGAAACGGATAATTAAGATAACATCATGCATGATCTGTCATGGCGGTTGTTTCTAAAATCTAAATCCCAAAGACGATCTTGGCTAAAGAGGTGTTTTTTTAGTAAGGATTCGTTATTTTAACAATTACGCATTATTTTGATAACAATACACTCATATGAAGCATAACATGTATAATCTTAAAGATTATCACTTTTAATTTTGCTGCATTTGCAGAGGAGACTGCTTTGTAGCTCTGATGACGCAATCTATAAAAATGTCTCGTTGCCAGAAGCTACGTTAATTATCGCAGCTAGAATGTGTTGTAATTTTCAGGGGAGTTCTCTCCCTTGAACCGTGCCGGCAAGAGATCTTGTTGAGCTACGCAACAACCTAGCTGTGACGTATTGGCGCGGTCTCTTTACATCCTGACATCGAACTGATAACATGTGAGTGATTTCCTCCGCTTATCCTAATAGATTTTGGGACCTGAGAGCAGTTCTCAACTACATGTTGTGACGTGTAACAACACACCAAATTCACGACATTTGGTGATCAGGAGTTCGTTGAACTGACACTACTTCTGACGTATTTTGTCACGCTCGCCACGTGCGCTGGCCTACGTGAGCATTGCATGAATTACGAGTGAGGAAATTTGGGACGTTCTAATATTTTTGTTATTTATTTAAATATTTATTAGGGGTAATTTAGAGTCGGCGGTTCGCTGCCGTTCTGATATTCATATTTAGTTTAGTTGTTTCTTTGTTTCGGAACTCCATTCGCCTATATAGTGGGTGGTCCCATATTGGCGGAATACGTATGACAGGCGAGACTTCTGAGCTTTCGTTAGGTTATAGTTGTTAGATTTATATAACTATAGATTTATATTACATTAGGATAGGAATTAGGTATTTTAGGAATTAGATTTTTTTTGTCATCTGTTAATTGTAATATATTCGTAGTCCTTTGAAATTTGTACAGGATAGACACAGTACGTGTCTTCTTATAGCAACAATTGCATATACTGTCCTTGTGCATAATTTTGTAATTGTTTAGTTAAGTGATTGAACTTATTTCTTTATTACAACACAGAAACTTTTGCGTATCTTAATACCAGTGTTTCATATTTGAGGATGGTTACAATCAATTTATGTTCAGCTACGGAGGAAGAGCTGTGCACGTTGGAGGGTTTAGGCCCTGCGATAGCACAGAAAATCATAGAGATAAGAGGTGAGGGCAACCTCACCCTACATAAACTTATGTCTAATTCCAGGATAGGCAACCTTGCTGTGATGTATTGGCACAGTCTCTTTACATGATCTGACATCGAACTGACAACACGTGAGTGATTTTCCTCCGCTTATTCTAATAGATTTTGGGACCTGAGAGCAGTTCTCAACTATATGTTGTGACAATGTATGAAAACACATCAACTTCATGACAACTGTAACAAGAGAGGAAATCTGCACCGCCAGTAACCGAAATTCCAACCCAGAACCTCTCGACAGTCTTGATAATTATAGTTAATCTTGGTTACCATGCCCAAAGAAATCCTCTGGGGTGACCACCTTAAGTTGGCAACTGTGAGATTCTCCGCAAAGGCTAATTCCTCTCTCTCCCTTGTTACATTTAGTATGATTTAATTGCTTTGATAATTATGACATCAATCAATATCCCTCTTTTAGCCTTTTATCAATATATATATAATGATTAAAATCAAACGTATCTACACGTTGGTCGTGAAAATAAGAAAAAGGAAACTAAGTTATGTAAGAGGTAAAATAAGGTTAAGAAATTCGTCCAGAAAACAGTCTCGTTTAAACAAAAGTACTGTACTAGTATGAATAATTTCTTATTATTTACACTAAATGACTCCACTCCTGACAGTTGACAGGTGCCCTTCGTGCTTTCACTCTCACAAGTTTCGTTTGTAATACAAATTAAACTCGGATAACTCATTTATTTTGTTTTAAATTCACAGGAATTTACCTGATACATATTTTCAAAAGTTACAAGAAATGATCACACAACTCTTACCATCTGTAAGGACGTAGGACCTGTGTGCTAGGAGATTCCAAACAATTGGCAGCCATGTTTTTTAAGATACATGTGTGACGTAGTTCCGGTCAATAAAATCGCGGCCCCAAATCTGGATAAATACATTGCCAACACAAAACAATGAAACATTTGCAACATTAAATACATTCCCTAACACACGCTGTTATTAACAGTATTTATTGAAGCATATATTTTACACATATACGTACTTATATATTGTTTCATAATTTTCAAAATAATTTTTAAGTTCAATTTTTCTAAAAAATACATAATTACGGCCGCATATTCACAACATGGCGACCATCATTTAGGCCTTGAGTTATCGTTGAATATTGCATGTGTTCATTTGACATTTCCAAGAATATTTGACTTTTTGTGTTGGTGCAATCGACGTTAATATTCATAAGAGGTATAACTGCTGTCCTTTGAAAGGCTTGTCATGCATATCAACCAAAGAACAATGCAATAAGGTGAGTAATGATGTGCGACGATGAGATCTTGTGCTGTATTTTGGCACATTTTCTGCCTCTGCTTTCAACCTGATAATTACGTCTATAATATTTACATACAGTCATGACAATATCTGTACAGAATGGATTATAACATTGTCTGTTATTGAATGCTGTCATTTGCAGACACGGAGACTTGAATAATTTCCCATGCTGATGGATAGAAAATCATTTATTGCACAGGCCTGCCCTTCCATGTTACTCCACAGAGAACAGAATTTTTTTAACAGGTCCAGTACACTCTGCCGATTGAGCTATATAGCTATAAAGACCTATATAGCTATATACACCTATAAATTATAGCTGTATTGAGCTATATTTTCTCAGATGTCAATTTTCATTGAATTAAAGCAAAGTCGCATCATAAAACAATAAGGTTTATGGTAATGTTGTTTATTTTCATTTTTCATAAATGTAAAATTTCCTTTTTTTTTTTTTTACATCTTTATGTTTTAAAAAGAACCCTTATATTTAATGTCTTTTGTTATCAACCTAATGATACAATCTTCTTCAGATAGGTCAATAGAGCTATTATAGGTCTTCACAGCTGTATAGCTCAAACGGCAGAGTGTACTGGACCTGTTTAATGCAGAATTTCATCACACCAGCTTAGACATCGCTCTTTTATAAAAAAAAACACGTGTTATATATAATTCTCACAGCTAGGTGCTCGGGTTCTGGAATATATGTGATATATATTATCGCACCCACTATAGATATTGCACCCCCTATTAGTTTATTTATTAATAGTATAAGGGGGTGCAATATCTAGTGAGTGCGATAATATATCACATATATTCTAGAACCCGAGCAACTGTGGTTATTCTCTTCGCAATAGCATGATCTTCAACTTATTTAAGATGGTCATTACTCATAAAAACTATAATATTAATTTTGAAATCTGAAATATAAATATCTCCAGTAAGAAAGTGCTCAACTTATCCAAGTCATCGGGGGGATCCTTTCGTGAGTTTTATGTCATCATCTAATCTAATAGTGCAGTATGCAATTATATTGTTAGCTTATAGGTTAAATATTATAAAGAAGAAAAGTAAATATAAATGCAAGGGTGCCTTGGCAATTTGTCTGAATTACATTGAAGCTATCATCCTGATGGGCTGTCACAATCACCTGAGTACCTGAATACGTTGGTTTTCGTTGGAACCTGGGTCAGAAAATGTGTACCTGGTACCAATCAAAAACGGTACAGTAGTGGGATCACATGAAATGGTGTGCGTTGATGCATATCTCCACAAGTTATGATGTGCATGCGGTGAAAAAATGTGTGAATCAGTAGTGTCCGCACAACTGTGCAATATAGCTATCGGCTATGAAATATATACAATTATGTAATTTAACTTATATCTTTCCTGATTTTAGTATGATGCCATATTTCAGTCAGAATTACATTGTTATAATTATATCATTTTGTATAAATTTATCTAACAATAATAAACACATCATGTACCAGAATTGACCATAATTGACACATGTGTTGACATACTGTCATACACATCAATACTGTACACATAGATAAAATATAAATAAAGCAGCCTTACCAATTATATACTTTCTTGTTAATTATCAGGTAATGGGTTCATTTTTGTATCACTAGTCAACGTTGACAGGTGTGTAAAATGTCCACACAAAGTGTGATTAATACCTGTAATGTTCAGTTGTGTTTTAATAACTGTCAAATCAACGATAAACTCTCATTGGCCATCAACTCCATGCAACTCACTATATATATATGTACGTACATGTATATATACATACTTTACCCTGTGACATCCTGATGACGATACATACTTTACCCTGTGACATCCTGATGACGATACATACTTTTTTTTACCCTGTGACATCCTGATGACGATACATACTTTACCCTGTGACATCCTGATGACGATACATACTTTACCCTTTGACATCCTGTGACGATACATACTTTACCCCGTGACATCCTGATGACGATACATACTTTACCTTGTGACATCCTGATGACGATTCATACTTTACCCTGTGACATCCTGATGATGATACATACTTTACCCTGTGACATCCTGATGACAATACATACTTTACCCTTTGACATCCTGATGGCGATACATACTTTACCCTGTGACATCCTGATGACAATACATACTTTACCCTTTGACCTCCTGATGACGATACATACTTTACCCTGTGACATCTGGATGACGATACATACTTTACCCTGTGACATCCTGTGACGATACATACTTTTTCCTGTGACATCCTGATGACGATATATACTTTACCCTGTGACATCCAGATGATGATACATATTTTATCCTGTGACATCCTGATGACGATACATACTTTACCCTTTGACATCCTGTGACGATACATACTTTACCCCGTGACATCCTGATGACGATACATACTTTACCTTGTGACATCCTGATGACGATACATACTTTACCCTTTGACATCCTGTGACGATACATACTTTACCCCGTGACATCCTGATGACGATACATACTTTACCCTGTGGCTTCCTGATGACGATACATACTTTACCCTGTGACATCTGGATGACGATACATACTTTACCCTGTGACATCCTGTGACGATACATACTTTTTCCTGTGACATCCTGATGACGATATATACTTTACCCTGTGACATCCAGATGATGATACATATTTTATCCTGTGACATCCTGATGACGATACATACTTTACCCTGTGACATCCTGATGACGATACATACTTTACCTTGTGACATCCTGATGATGATTCATACTTTACCCTGTGACATCCTGATGACGATACATACTTTACCCTGTGACATCCTGATGACGATACATCCTTTACCTTGTGACATCCTGATGACGATACATATTTTATCCTGTGACATCCTGATGACGATACATACTTTTCCCTTTGACATCCTGTGACGATACATACTTTACCCTGTGACATCCTGATGATGATACATACTTTACCCTGTGACATCCTGATGATGATACATACATTTCGTTCTGCTGATCTTACCGTATTGCACAACAGGAGTGGACGATTGATTGTTGAATTGCACGCCAACGGTGTGAGCAAATTATGAATTTGGTGCATTGGGCAATCATACAACTGTAAATTCTTGACCAGTTGCCTATGTGCAGTAAATGTGTAATGTTATATTAACCTAGCTGGTTACTTTAAAGACAAGAACTTAATTCTAGTATCAGCAAAGTTTTGTTATATATATTCAGTGGATTTTATTGTCTTTCTGGTGATATTAATGTAAAAAGCTATGTAGTTTTTCCACCTTTGTAATTTGCACAGGTACTTTTTTGGCTGAAAAATCTGAAGAAAAACCTTTGAAATCCAGAACGGCGCGTCTAGTTACCCAATACTACCCAATACTACCCAATACCACCCAATACTACCCAATAC